TGGTGACCCATACTTGGAATTTGTGCTCTGCATTTAACCCATCCAAGTACACACACACACCGTGATCACACACCCGGAGCAGTGGGCAGCCATTTTTGCTGCGGCACCCGGGGATCAGTTGGGAGTTCGGTGCCTTGCTTGTAACCTTTGGGTTACAAGTCTAACTCTCGAACCATTAGGCCACGACTGATGACTGATAAGAAGAATTGTGTACGGTTTGAAACAAAACAACAGATGTAAAAAAGAAGACATTGTGTTTGTTTGTGGAACATGTTCATAGTTAATATAATTAACTACAACTGGGGATCCTGTGCTAGATTTGCTTGGTGGTTGCTATGGTAATGGTTGCTAGGGTGCTCTGAGTGGTTGCTAGGGTATTGCTAGTGTAGGTGTTCTTTGTTTAGGTGTTAAGTATGTTGCTGTGGAGCATATTAATTATTTAGGGATGTCTGTTTAGCATGTTGCTATTAATAGAAAACAATATGTGGAACATTTAATTTCAATATATTTTATATTTAATAATTATATATATGTATATATATATCATTTTTAAATAATTTAGGGAAGAGGGTCTGTATTTAGCATGTTGCTTATAATAGAAATATATTACATAATATGTAAAATAATAAAAAATAAAATGTTAAATAAATGTAAATAAATGTAAAATAATAATAAAATATAAAATACATTTTATTAAATATTTAATATTTGTTATATATTAACATAAAAATTTTTTTGGGAATTCTAATTAATTAATTTATTTTCCACAGTCTTTTCTATTATTTAGAATATGACACTAAGGCACTGTTGATGTGGAATAGAAGCTCTTTCTGAAGCATTGCTTCTGCTTTCATTTCACAAGGTTGTGCTGGAACAGCAGCTCAAAGAGCCTGTGGATTATATGGACAGATATACACACACACACACACACACACACACACACACACTGATTGCATGAGTGCATCATGCTTTGTCCCTTCAGTTCACAGGAGAGATCAATCTTAAACGTTTATCACTCTTTACTCCTGTCCCTCCCTCCCCTCAACCATCCATCCATCCCTCCATCTCCTCCCTCCACCTCCATCAGCAGATGTGTCCATTCATCATATTTTGTCAGGTTCCTTCCTGTCTCTCTCTGTCTTGTTCTGTCTGTCTCTCTGTGTGTCTCACGTCTGCAGCCCTCAGAACTGATCTACTACATGTATGTTATACCAGACACTCTACGCTACGGTTTCCTTTGTTATTATGTATCCTAATGCAGGCACTTCTAGCTTAGCAAGCTCGATTTCATGTGTCCTTGTCATCCGAAACACAATCTATAGTCTGTGTAATCATGTGTATGTAGACTCTTTTAGCTACATATCTTTCAGCTCATTTACTGTTATGGCAGAGCAACAGTATGGAGAGCAACACAGTAAAATCCTTTTAGAACACCTATCAAGTGCACCCTTCTAAGTACACCCTAATAACCACATAGCAACACCTCGGCAACTGCATTAGAACATAGAACATCCCAGCAATGCCCTGGTGACTTCCCACAACACCTTAGCAACATGCAAAAAACCACACAGAACGCCTAGCAATACTCTAGCAACCACCCAGAATGCCCTAGCAACTGCATACTGTAGCAACCACCGACCAATGTTGTGAAAATCACTTAGAATACCACATAGAAAACTCATAGCAATGTTCTAGCAAACACATGCTGTAGCAGCCACCAAATAAGATGCTGGAAACCACTTGGAATTCATTAGCAACAGCATAGCAATGCCCTGGCAACCAACCAAAACATTTTAACAACTGCATTTTGTAACAACCACCGAGAAACATAGGATAGTATAGGAACGACCCAGCCACAACCCAGAACACCCTAAGAGCCACATACTATAGCAACCACTAAGCAACTTGCTGAAAACCATTTACAGTACCTTAACAACGTCATAGCAATGCCTTGACAGTGACTCTGAACATTCTAGCAACTGCACATCAACGCACTAAACCCAGTAAAACCACCTTAACTACCACCCTAGTGCACCCTACCTAGAACACCCTAGTAGCTGCATAGCAACACCCTGGTGACTACCCACAATACCTTAGCAACTCTATAGCAACATGCTCAACACTACACAGAGCACCTAACCATGCTCTAGCAACCACCCAGAATACCCTATCAACCGCATACTGTAACAAACACCACACATTGTGCTGAAAAACCACTTAAAATACTACATAGCAACACTATAGCAGCCACATACTTTAGCAACCCCAAGCAGTGTGCTGAAAACCACTTTGAAAACCTTAGGAACAGCATAGCAACTTCTTAGCAACCACAAGCACCGTGCTGAAAACCACTCAGAATACATTTGAAACCACATAGCAACCACACACTGTAGCAGCCACCAAGCAATGTGCTGAAAACCACTTAAAACACTACATAGCAACACCCTAGCAACCACATACTGTAGCAACCACCAAGCTGCATGCTGAAAACCATATTGCATCTACATAGCAATACCCTGGTAACCATATACAACATCCTCGAAATTGCATAGCAACACCAGTTTTGTGCATGCACTGTTTCTTCAGATAAAATTTTCTTCAGTGAATATAGTACAAATCTACATTACTTGTGTTTTTACATGTTGATCTTGCATTTGTAAGTGTTCGATATTGATACAGTATGTTTTTGGTCTTGGCACATCTCATATTTTATATCTAAAACACTTTAGTGACATCTTTTTCTCCCTCTTTCCCTCTCCAATCGTCTTTTTCTCCCTTTTTGATTTTGTTCTCCAGTCACATTTGTTCCCATCATGAAAATATTGATCCATCTTTAGGACTTCAGAGACTTCATAAAATCTCAGCGTTCTCGTCAGAGTAAATGTCAGACTGTTCCCCCTATGCTTGGATATTAACATTGTGTGTGTGTGTGTTTCACAGGCTCCGTCTCTTTGAGCGTGCTGCTGGTGTCGTTGGCGGTAACCGTGTGTGGTGTTTGGCTGGTGGCTCTCTGCGGTGTCTGCGGATGGTGTCAACGCAAGCTGGTGAGTTACACACACACATACCGAAAAAAAAAACTATTTTTATATTTTTATAAATATTTACTAACTATTTTAGACAATTATACATGCATTTGATTGTACAATGGGCTGGAACGTTTGCAATGTGTTGACCAAACGTTTGCATGTACGTTTGTGTAATTTAAATGTTTCTGACCTTTCTATAACATGACAGATTTAATATTTTATGTCTTTCATAGCCTGGGAGAATTAATTGAGTTCTCAGTTAAGTATCAACTTAGATTTTTCTCCTCCAAAACAAATGAGTAAACAGAGGACCTACAGAATGAGTATTTGTATTTTTCTATGTGTAGCTTCACAATCAGGATTTTGTAGTAAAATGTGAAATAATAATGTGGTCTCCATGCTGATCAATCAGTGTAAAGGGTGATTGATTAGGACGGTCCTGCGGCTCATTAGACAGATGGAGTGGAACCCCGCCGCACGGTTCTTCACCGACTCGTTTGTTTGGCTTGCGTCTGTGAGTCAAAACTAATTGATTCCCGATGCGTGTCATACATATATGACGGTGCGTGAACCCTAGAGAGTGAGCCATCTGTGTGTGGGATCTGTATGTGCTTGTGTTTGATGTGTGTTTGTGTGTGTGCATGTGTTTTAGCGTGTACAGCGTTTATACACGAGTCTACAATTTTGCATTTCTGTTATTTGTTTATTAGTGTCTGTTATAATAAGAAGTATAAAGTGGGTGATAAAATTTGACTTTTAACTTGGACCACATAGACTACCCAAGATACCCTAGCAACTGGATAATAATGCTCTGGTGACTACCCACATCACCTTAGCAACATGCTAAACACTACAGAGAACACCTAGCAATGGTCTAGCAACCACCCAGAATACCCTAACAAACGCATACTGAACAAACAACGAGCAATGTGCTGAAAACCACTTAAAAGACTACACAACGACACCCTAGTGACCACCAAGCAACATGCTGAAAACCACTTAGAATACCTTAGGAACAACATAGAAACACCCTAGCAAACCACATACTGTAGCAACCACCAAGCAACATGCTGAAAACCACTTAAGAGTACATTTGAAACAGCATAGCAACACTCTAGCAACCACATACTGTAACAACCACCAAGCTACATGCTTAAGTCCACTTAGAATACCTTAGAAACCACATAGCAACGCCCTAGCAATCATATACTGTAGCAACTACCAAGCAACATGCTAAAGACTACTTGGAATACCTTTGAAACTGCATAGCAACTCCCTAGCAACCACATACTATAGCAAGCACCAAGCAACATGCTTAAGTCCACTTAGAATTCCTTAGACACCACATAGCCATGCCCTAGCAACCATATACTGTAGTGACCACCAAGCAAGCGACATGCTGAAAACCACTTAGAATACCTTAGAAACTGCATAGCAACACCCTAGCAACCACATACTGCAGCATCCACCAAGCAACATGCTTAAGACCACTTAGAATACCTTAGAAACCACATAGCAACGCCCTAGCAATCATATACTGTAGCAACTACCAAGCAACATGCTAAAGACTACTTGGAATACCTTTGAAACTGCATAGCAACTCCCTAGCAACCACATACTATAGCAAGCACCAAGCAACATGCTTAAGTCCACTTAGAATTCCTTAGACACCACATAGCCATGCCCTAGCAACCATATACTGTAGTGACCACCAAGCAAGCGACATGCTGAAAACCACTTAGAATACCTTAGAAACTGCATAGCAACACCCTAGCAACCACATACTGCAGCATCCACCAAGCAACATGCTTAAGACCACTTAGAATACCTTAGAAACCACATAGCAACGCCCTAGCAATCATATACTGTAGCAACTACCAAGCAACATGCTAAAGACTACTTGGAATACCTTTGAAACTGCATAGCAACTCCCTAGCAACCACATACTATAGCAAGCACCAAGCAACATGCTGAAAACCACTTCCAATACTGTGGCAACCGCATAGAACGTCCTAGCAACTGCAAAGCACTAAAAACAACTCAGAACACTTAACTACCGCCAAAGTTCACCCTACATAGAACACCCTAGTAACTGTATAGCAACCACTGAGCAACATGTTGGAAACCACTCAGAACCCTTTGGAAACTGCATAGCAACACCCTGGTAACCACATAGAACATCCTAGAAACTGCATAGCAACACCCTTGCAACCACATCGAACATTCTAGCAACATTTTCTTCAGTAAATGTAGTTTCTTTAGTTTTGTAAGTATTTGATATCACACACATTCAGTGTGTTTCCTCAGTGACGTCACGTGAGGAGCCAAAAGGTTTTTTTCCAGTTGATGACTGAAAACAGTGACCTGTAATTTCAGCCTCACGACCGCTGATCGGACTTTTAAATGGCAGCGCTGATTGGAATGACCTTGAGTGACCTGAAAGGTGTTTCAAAGTAAAAGAGCCGTTTCCCATTTATACCACCAGAAGCCAAATACTTAACTGAACATGCCGGCAGATCTCACACGTACAGGGAATCGTAAATTCAGTCAGATATCCTCAACCACAACTGTACGTGATCTTTGACCTTATTCCTCCCAGAAGAGTGACCACAGGCCATCACAGCAGGTGTCATGAGGTCTTTGAGCTCAAGTGAGGATGTGCACACGCATACTAACAAGCATACTAACAAGTGTGTGTTATTGTGTGGGAGGAAGTCTGTGTGTGTGCGCGTGTGCTTGAGGGAGAGAATTTCTGTGTGTTTACTTACTATACTTTGGAGACCTTCTTTTATGGATGCCCTCAAATTTAAAAATGATTAATTAATGAAGCAAACAATGTTTATTTATTTGCATTTTTTGGTTATGCTTAATCTGAATGTCATTAACATTCTCTGAGTCTATAATAAGATGAGAAAACATCTTAAAGGAATAGTTCACCCAAAAATAAAAATTTGCTGTTATTTTACTCACCCTCAGGCCATCCAATATATAGATGACTGTTTTTCTTCAGTAGAAGAGTAAAGAAGATTTTTAGCTGAAACCATAGTCCTTGGTGATTCATAAAATGCAAGTCAGCGGCTGTCTGTGCTTGAGAATAAAAAAAGCATATCAAGGAACCTGTCAGGGTTCTGGACTGTCTGTGTGTGTTTTGCTCCTCGTGACCCAGTTTCTCCTCGTGTTAATTTGATTCCAGCTGTGTCTATTTTGTCCCTCATTATCCTGAGTTTATAAGCCCCAGTCTGTTCAGTTTAGTTTGTTGGATCTACTTGTTGTGAACGTCATCCTTGTGCTCTGTCTCCTATTTGAATAATTAAAAGACTCTCGTTCTGAGAAATCTCTACGTTTCCTCGTGCATCCAGCGAATTGTGACAGAACCAGGGCCGTAGCCAGGGTTTTAAAATGACCGAAGTCCCAAATCACCCCCCCCGCCCCTAAAAAAATAAATAAAAATCACTGAACTGCATGTGTGCTAGGGCTGTAAAATTACAATTAGAATTTCGAATGTTCGTCTAATTTAAAATAAAAATCCACATTCAAATGCAAAAATTGTATTCGAATTCACTGCACCCTCTTGTAGCCACAGGAGACAAAAGCATTTTCCCCATAAACTGAAATTATGACTTTTAAATTTGAATTAGTTTTTCAGCCATTTTGACAGCCCTAATGTTTGCATTTTAAGAGGAAATAATTGAAGGCCAAACATTTGGATACCAATTTAAAACTGTGTCAGTGGGCAGTATATTAATTGTCAATACCAGCTCTCTGCTTTGATTGATAGTATTTTCATTTTCATCTTTGTCAGTGAACAAAGTAAACAAATGGTCGACTGATATTTTAATATTTGATGAATCATTTTATTAAACAAGTTACTTTACTGAAGGCTACCAGGAAAGCTACGTAATTAAGTTTTGTAAATTCACAATATGTGCACATTCATTATTAATCATATGCCTTATATATGATGAAAACGGCTTCGTTAATATTGTTTCTTGTCCCCTCACATTGACAATTATGAATCACATTACATAAATCACGTCAATTGAAAATGGCGAAATTAGACAAGTTTAATAGTTTGCATTCCTGATTATTTTTGTCAGTCGTTTAAAATTTCTATCGTAAAACAGCTGTCAGATATGAAATGTTTGGCTACTTACATCTTATCCCGCACTTTATAGCTGCTAACTGAAGCGTTGCTTTGAAATTGGCGCTATGCTGCTTCTGTGAATATAAAGTCCACCTACTTTGATTTGATTGGTCATCTCAAATATTTTTGCATTTGCATTGACGAGCGGTGACGAGGAAAAAATTCTGAGGTCCGGACCTCGGTGACCTCATAGCTGGCTATCGGTATGCAAGGAACATAAAATTAATACACTGTAAAAAATGTAACCACAGCTGCCGTTTTTTTACCGTAAATTTTACGGAATTATTTTTACAGTATACCCGTGGCTCCTGATGATATATTGAGGTCTTCCAGTGCAAAACGACTGATCTGTGCAAGAAACTGGACATTATTTATAACATTATTACCTGTAATCTAAAGCCTCGGGCAAACAGTCCGGAGTGATGTCCGATTCGCGAACAAATCATTCTTTTGAACTTGTTCTTTTTAGTGAACTGGATGAATCAGTTCACCAAATCGAACTGAAGCGTCTGAAACAGTTCCCAGCTCGAGCAGCACAGATCTACAAGTTCCTCAATCAAAACTCACTTTAAAACCTTGAAAATCTGTTTAAAACCAACCAGCACACCGGACTGATCATCTGAAAATTGCTGTGTAAGACCAGCAAACCATCTTAGTCTGGTTCACAGTGTTTTTTTAAATTTTGTTTTATTATGACAATAGCTAAGTGAACGCGTGTTTGTGTGTGTTTTGGTGCTCAGAACTCTTTGACCTTGTGTTCGTCAGCTTCAGCAGGAAATGACCTGCACTTCAGCAGGAAGCTGCACCTGTCGCTGCCTCATTAAGCTCAGACGGGTCACCTCTGCCGGTAACATTAAGCTAAACTGAGCGGTTA